ATAGCTGAGTCAGCAATTTTACCGGATAAAACAAATCGTGGAATGTTAGTTTTCTAAATGCGCTTTTATTGTGCCAGTTTCGAGAGATTCATGATTACAATCTACGTATAAATTACAACCACTCCGTAGGAAAAACAATCTTGGCACAATTGCAGAAAGGGTAGAAAAGCCTTTTTCGAAATTAGTTTGTTCTCGATATAAATTAGAATATTTAATATTGTTTTTAGTAGTTCGGTTATTATTAATTCCCGCAGAGCCATCTTTTGTGCCAGTTTCAAAAGTTTTATATCTAAAATCTACGTTAAAAATACTATAGTTCTGTAGCAATGAGAACTTTGGCACAAGCTTTGTCGTTGAGAAAATTGTGGAAAAATCGAATGTTGGGATAGCTGAGTCAGCAATTTTACCGGATAAAACAAGTCGTGGAATGTTAGTTTTCTAAATGCGCTTTTATTGTGCCAGTTTCGAGAGATTCATGGTCAAAATCTAAGTATAAATTACAACCACTCCGTAGGAAAACAATCTTGGCACAATTGCAGAAAGGGTAGAAAAGCCTTTTTCGAAATTAGTTTGTTTTCGATATAAATTAGAATATTAATATAGTTTTTTGTAGTTCGGTTATTATTAATTCCCGCAGAGCCATCTTTTGTGCCAGTTTCAAAAGTTTTATATCTAAAATCTACGTTAAAAATACTATAATTGTGTAGCAATGAGAACTTTGGCACAAGCTTTGTCGTTGAGAAAATTGCGGAAAAATCGAATGTTGGGATAGCTGAGTCAGCAATTTTACCGGATAAAACAAATCGTGGAATGTTAGTTTTCTAAATGCGCTTTTATTGTGCCAGTTTCGAGAGATTCATGATTAAAATCTACGTATAAATTACAACCACTCCGTAGGAAAACAATCTTGGCACAATTGCAGAAAGGGTAGAAAAGCCTTTTTCGAAATTAGTTTGTTTTCGATATAAATTAGAATATTAATATAGTTTTTCGTAGTTCGGTTATTATTAATTCCCGCAGAGCCATCTTTTGTGCCAGTTTCAAAAGTTTTATATCTAAAATCTACGTTAAAAATACTATAGTTCTGTAGCAATGAGAACTTTGGCACAAGCTTTGTCGTTGAGAAAATTGCGGAAAAATCGAATGTTGGGATAGCTGAGTCAGCAATTTTACCGGATAAAACAAATCGTGGAATGTTAGTTTTCTAAATGCGCTTTTATTGTGCCAGTTTCGAGAGATTCATGATTAAAATCTACGTATAAATTACAACCACTCCGTAGGAAAACAATCTTGGCACAATTGCAGAAAGGGTAGAAAAGCCTTTTTCGAAATTAGTTTGTTTTCGATATAAATTAGAATATTAATATAGTTTTTCGTAGTTCGGTTATTATTAATTCCCGCAGAGCCATCTTTTGTGCCAGTTTCAAAAGTTTTATATCTAAAATCTACGTTAAAAAGACTATAATTCTGTAGCAATGAGAACTTTAGCACAAGCTTTGTCGTTGAGAAAATTGCGGAAAAATCGAATGTTGGGATAGCTGAGTCAGCAATTTTACCGGATAAAACAAATCGTGGAATGTTAGTTTTCTAAATGCGCTTTTATTGTGCCAGTTTCGAGAGTTTCATGGTCAAAATATACGTATAAAATACAACCATTACGTAGAAAAAACAATATTGGCACAATTGCAGAAAAGGTGGAAAAGCCATTTTCCAAATTAGTTTGTTCTCGATATAAATTAGAATATTAATTAAGTTGTGTCTTTGCCACTTAAAATTAGTTGTTTCTCTGGCATATTTTATGCCAGTTTGTAAATTTATGCCAGTTCTAAAATCTTGAATACGAACTGCATAGTGGTTCGTATTCAAAATGAAATGTGAAGTGGGTGAACAATTGGAAAGGTTTGCAAATATGGAGATTTAAAGTGCGAATGAATGTGGTGAAAATCTCAAATTTGCAAAATGCGGAAGGAAAAGTGCCCGTGATCGAACATTGCATTTTCTCATGAATATTTTGCTAAAGACGTTTGTGCCAGGGCTGATAGTTCGCAAGTACAAGAGAGGGGTGTACATTTTGTGTTTTTTTTTTCAAATGGTAAGTTTATATTGGTGCATTATTATAATAGAAATTTGTTGTGAATTTGTGACAAATGAAACCGAAGGTAATTTGAAATTTTAAAGTATTCAGAAACACTAATATTACAATTTAATACATTGTCAATAATAGACGTTGTTCTCAACGCATTATTTTTACAGTAAATGTCTTAATTTCCTGCTAAATTAATTTTTTAAAATTTGAATATTGGGATGAATGTTGAGATGAATATGGGGATGAATCCTAGGATGAATCTTAGGATGAATGTCCGGATAGCTTCACAGAAGTCCAAACTTTGCCATATCTTTCCCATACTTTTGCTTTGGTAAGGGAAATGCCATATCTAATTTTTGTATTTTTTAGTATCTTTTAACAGACTCGGATAGAATAAGGATTCAATTTTTATAATATGACCGTACTTTTGCAGAAACTTGAAACTAATAGGGAAATATTCTTACATTTGGTTGAAAATCTTAGGATTTTTGAAGGTTTTGCAATGAAAATCTTGGGCCTGGTAACGAAAGTAAATTCAATAGGCAAATGTCCTAGATTTATTGCCATTTTATTTTTGCTGATGTTTGCCTTAGCTTTCTATATTAAGTTTTTTAATATATTTATTACTTATCATATTTTTCATTGTTTTATAGATGAACAAGTGTACACTGGATGGTTTAATTGGAAGTCCCAGCAACATACAAAATCAAGTTAAGTGGTGATGGGGCAAGAATGACCAGAATTACTGGGTTCATAGCCATTTCCTTCTCCATTTTGAATGATGGTGATAATCCTTTATCATCCAAAGGTTAGAGTTTGTTAAGTGCACTATATGCTCTAGCTATATCAAGTCACACCAGAGAAGCAGAGTAAGTTCTATTATTTAGCCCACCAATTAATTTATTCTCTTACAGGACTCTGACTCTCTATAATTTAACATGCAGTGTTAATATAATAGAGTTTTTCAATATAATAGAGACTGCATGCTCAATACACAGTCTATATTTTTTACATACCCTGGTATAGTCTAGTCTAGTCTAGTCTAGTCTAGTCTAGTCTAGTATAGTCAAGGAACTGAAATGTGTTTTTTTTTCTCCCAGGGAATCACACAGTTGCAGTTATTAAGGGGAGAGAGTCATATGAAACCCTTCAGTCCTCCTGCTCAAGGATCTTTAATGTGTAAACAACATTGTGAAAACTGGTTTCATAAAAATAGGTGAAAACCAAGTACCCGTTGAGATATTTCTTGGTGGAGACTATAAGGTAATTTTAGGTGCTGTATTGTTTTTTAATTGTTAAATAAATAAGTTAATTAGTAGTTCAAGTTGGATAAATTGCATGCTACTTAGTTCAAGTTAGATAAATTGCATGCTGATATTGAAATGAATTACACCCTTGGCACATTGCTGCTGTGGTAGAATCCTCATCTGCCATATTACAGGAGGAAATCAGATATGTGTTCAACTGTAATCATTTGGTAATATACTGTCTGATGCGAGAAGAGGCAACAACCAAACTAAATCTGAATGATTAATTCCAGTCTTGTATTTCCAGTTTCTGTTGCTACTTTTGGGCACGAAAGGAGCAACATCAGATCATGCTTGCATCTGGTGCAAAATCCACAAGCTGTTGAGGAAAGATAAAAAAATTAAGTTATTAACCCATTGAATAGCAGCATTCTCCCCCTGACAAGCAAAATTGCCTGGTGTCAGAGTAAAATAATAAAGTAGGGCACATTGCTACTTAAAGGGTCAATTATTGACAAACATACAGCTTCCTGGCAACCGTTGACCACTGGAAATGAAGATGGGTTCAGAACCAATCCATCCACACACAAAGCGTATAAGGCTCACAGCTTGGATAATATTTCATATTTTCTTTGTTAAGATATGACATGACTAGACCTGAAGATTTTTATTGGATGGATAACATCAGAAGAACTTTGGATGACATACAAGCATGTTGTCTTAAACATCAGTTTTCTTGTGACCGCCCTCCTCTGCTCAATATCCCCCTCGACAACATTGTCCTGGATGAGCTTCATTTGATGCTACACATTACCGGTATATAAAACTTATCATTTTATATTATTGTTAAACCATGGACAACCAGAGACAGATTTTCATATTTTCGTTCAGGGGGTGGGGGGTGGATAAATATCTGGGGGTGCAGCTGCTTGCTTTGGCCGGGGCGTAGTGGCAACGCCCGGAAAGGCCAAGGAAAAAGTTTAACAAAATTTGTATTCTAGGCCTGCATGGCGAGATCTGAGACCATAATATTGCTAATTTTACAAATTTAGTAGTAAGAACAATCAATTATGAAACTATCAAATAAAAATATATGTAATTTGCGGTGGTGCCAAATGCCTTTGGGGGGGGGGGTGCAAATCATTTCTGGGGGTGCGCAACCCTGAAACAACTGAAGCAACTTGCTAGCATACATGGTGAAAAATAAGGGTCCGAGACAGGAACCTTGCGGAACCCCACATGGGAGATGCAATTTGTCTGAGAGACCGTCACCAAATACTACCCTCTGTGATCAGTTGGATAAATACGACGAGAACCACTGAAGGGGCTTTCCTTCAATTCCAAATGATATTTCTAGTCGACGGAGAAGGGTAGCATGGTCGATTGTGTCAAATGCCGCACTAAGATCTAACAATACAAGTAGGGTCACTTGTTGGCGGTCCATGCTAAGGGAGGATATCATTATGCACTTTAAAAAGTGCTGTCTCTGTACTATATCCCTTCCTGTAAGCCGACTGAAATGCTGGAAATAAATCATTCAAAATCAAGTGATCATATGTCTGCTCATATACAGCTCGTTCTGCTAGTTTTGAAATGAACTGTAGATTTGCTAATTGGGCGTAAGTTATTGAATACAGCGTCAAGTCCTGCTCTCTTAAGAAGTGGTTTCACCAATGCATCTTTCCAATTCTCAGGGAAGTAGCATTAGCCAAAGAGGAATTAATAAGATGGGTAATTACTGGTAGTAACGTATCTAGGCAATCCATTACCAGCGGCGTTAGCATTGGGTCAAGCGAACAGTACTTCTTAGACGATTTCATAACTAATATTTGCACTTCTTCCTGACTAATCTTCCGAAAATGGGTCAAAACACCACCTCTTTGTGATACAAACTTGATGTCATCCGGCACTAGTTTATTTGACTGTGAGTCAAGAACCATAGCGTCTACTTCAGCTCTGATTCTCGCAATCTTGCTAACGAAAAATGCGCCAATATCATTCGAAAGAACGGTATTATCGGGTGAGTTCGGAAAACAAATCTCACTATTTGTGTTGAGCAAACTTTTCGCCGCACGAAAAAGCTTAGACTTATTGTCACCGTTACTGTTAATAAAATCACTATAATATTCTCTTCGTGCTTTATTAATCAAGTATGTCACATAATTTTTCTTAATCTTAATAATCTAAAATCAGTCAACGACTTACTTTTCCGCCACGCCCTCTCCGCCTTGCGGCGTTGCCTTTTTGCAGTATCAATTTCAGCACTGTACCAAGGGGCAGATGTTCTTGCTCTGATTATCTTAGTCTTCAATGGAGCATGGTAATCAGTCAAGTGGGTTAAAGTAGAGTTGTACTCTCTCACAACAGCATCAATTTCCTCAGGCAACTTTATTGTCTGAATCACCATGTGAAGCTCTACACAAACCAGAGGCCACTAAATCATGCTAACTTTACTCTTTTCCAGAATTGGTTTAGCTGTAGCTAGACTACAAATAACAGATGCATGATCTGAAATATACCGATCCACTTTGGGTTGCCCAATAATAATATAATCAGAAACTCGCGTAATAATTAGATCCAAAGTGTGGCCATCCACATGTGTAGCTTCATTAACATACTGTTTCAGTCCAACCGACTCAAGTAGATCACAGAACTTCACTGCATCAGCGTCTTCGATGGAATCAACATGGATGTTAAAATCGCCACAGATCACTAAGGCCTCCTTACATAGTAACAATGATTCTAGATGACTAAAGAATTCTGTAAAGAACAGGCCAATTGGAGCTCCATGCTCACTTGTATATGGTGGACGGTAAACAGCTACCATGCAAAGTTTCTGCGCAGATGAGAGATTGACAATCCACTCTGAAAATTCATAAGAGCCCTTACTCCCTGCATCCACTTTGTCAACATACAATGAGTCACGATACAATAGTGCTATCCCACCGCCACGGCGTTCCTCACGCACATGATCACACAGTTTATAACCGTCAGGGCACAGCTCTACGCGAACAGCATTATCGTTTTTGTCCAGCCAGGTCTCTGTAATTGCTACAATGTCGGGTTTGCAATCGTGGGAAATGTAATCAACGATATCCGCAGTTTTATTCCGGACAGAGCGACTATTAAGTAAACAAAACTTCAACAAGTTGCAATTGCCGTTTTGCAATAAATTTGACGAACAATCTATGTAAACTAAATTCGCTGACCTTGATCCCCAAGCCGTTGGGTTACTAATAGGCTTCTGACCAAGCTGTTGTTGAGTCAGAGGACCAGGGTTTGTGGAAATATCTCCCCCCTTCAGTAGAATTTGTCGGGTAGCACACAAATTTGGATAATAGAAGTAGGGAGCCTGCATCATCTTGGGTTTGTTGTGGAAAAACTTTTGTTGGCATGGCAGAACCGGTAGGTAAAGCATATCGGTGTTTCTATACACAGCACAATAATTTCTATTCACAGGCCAATAGTTGAATGGTAAATTATGCGGGTAGCTTGTAGCAAACCATGATTGATTAATCAATGAACTAAATGAAGAATACTTCGCTCTGATTGTTCCTTCCTTAACACTGAGCTGTGCAACTATCGGCAGACAAAGAGCTAATTGTTCATTGCTCATTATGCAAATATCCAATTTAGAAGATATGCAAATCCGAACTTGTTCAGCCTGGCTGAGTAACACTTCGAGATTAACGTTCAGTATCAAACTTTGCTGGATTTCTTGCCCAATACAACGGTTTCCATCTCCAAACACACATACTATCGACGAGTAGACTTTGTCATAATAACTAAACAATCCATTTTCTTTAAAATTGTGAAGAACAACCAAATACGTCCAAGATTGAGTCTGTTCATCACGATTTCGCAACTCACCAAGGTCAGCAGGGAATTGCTGGTATTCTCGCTTAATTCCATGGTTTTCTTCTCCAAATACATGTTTTCTAGGCGAATGAGCCTTATAGAATAAGTCAGGGCTAAACCTAACCGTTCTGAAAGCAATAAACAACGCAAAACTGAGGAAAAATGTGGAGCTCATAAATACACGTCCATACGCCATAACGTATATAATATATATATATAATATATATAATATATATAATATATATAATATATATATAATATATATATAATATATATAATATATTTGAAGATTTGTAATCCAGGCATTTTATTAAATTATAAAATTATATTGTTTTGAGCTTTCGACTCGGTATGATCAATCTTTCTGATGAAGGCTCGAAGTACCGAGTCGAAAGCTCAAAACAAATAATTACAATCCAGAGAACACTGTATAATTTTGTAAAAATTATAATTTAATGTATATATATATATATAAGTAGTGATACCCCCCACTCTGGCGACGGAAGTAATTAGTATGCAGAGCTTGTAACCTCATTATGTATTCATTATGTCTTACTCCTTCACGGCCTTCATCCCTAATTATATATTCATAAGTAAAAAGCATTAATTATGCCTACGTCATCATTATGTATTCATTCCGAATGCCGCCCGAAGGTGACGTCATCCCGATCCGTCTCCGACTTTCCCCCGAGGATGACCGAAGATTAATTATTTTAAAAATATTCATTGCATCAAGTGTTAGACTTAAAAATCTATTGTGCGATACACTTCGCACATTTGACCCCTGCACCTGGCAACATACTTTAATATCTCACTCATACTAGGAGTAATAAAAAAACAACAAATAAATAAAATAAAATAAATAAAACAAGCTCTGCTGTTAGTTCACTTGGTATGAGTGTGGGCCTACCCAATTTTTAGCGGTTTTCTCTAAGCAACTGTGTGGAAATTTGCATGAAACACATGGTAAGGACAAGCGAAAAAGTCATTAAGGCGGGCAAGTTCTGGCGGAACGCTCATTTGCGTTGTTTCTATGTGAATTTCAGCGTCGCGTCTCTTCATTCGTAAACTTTGATTTTTATTCGCACTCGTACTAGGAATAATAAAAATAAAATTGAAAAGTAAAACAAGCTCTGCTGTTAGTTCAGTTGGTAAGAGTGTGGGTCTATACAATTTTTAGCGGTTTTCTCAAAGCAGCTGTGTGGAAATTTGCATCGCACACATGGTAAGAACAAGCGAAAAAAGTCATTAAGGCGGGCAAGTTCTGACGGAACGCTCGTTTGGGTGTGTTTGTATGTGAATTTCAGCGTCGCATCTCTTCATTCGTAAACTGGTTCTAGTCCTGGTAACAGCGATCTACTGTTGGCAAATATTGCAATCATTTTAGCAATTTTCTGACGATTTTAGCAAAAAGTTCGAAACATGTTGCAATCAGTTAAGTGAAAACGTTTTTTTTCTTTTTATTTGTATTTTTTTTAAATTTTACTTGATTTTTATATGTTTATATTTATGCTTTCTTATTATTTATAGATCCTTGAAATGATTCGCGAGTGTGAGACCGAAGCCGCTCTGGATATATTCGAGCAAGCGTTCGATCTTTACTGACGAGAAGAAAGAGGCTGTTTTGCGACAGCGATTGGCGATTTGGATACGTGAATGTGAGGAAATTTCGGACAACAGGTACCGATTTTTTTTTATTTATTTTATATTACTTGTAAAGGTCAAGTGTTCAAATATGCCTTTAATGTTAAAACTTATAATAAAGGCTGAAGTCATGATTAAATATCTGATCAAAGTTACGCGAACCATGTTGCTTAGGTAATAACGCCCATAATCAGGTATTAACCCGTTATTAGGTTATTGCACCCTCAATCAGGTTTTAATTCTTTCGTCCATGTTGTGCAAATCCAAGATTGTGCAATGTGAGGGTTTTTTTGTATAATAAGTGTATGCTAAGAAAAAAAAAACCAACATAGCTAATAAAATAAGTATGAAACCATTATACAGGGTGTATAAAAAAAAAGGTAATCGAACTTCAGTGCGCTATTGTATCTGAATTACTCCGCATATGAACAAGATTTTTTCACATTCGGAAAGATCATGCTTTTAGCTGTTGAATGATATCTTCTTCATGCCAAATGGATAAAAAATGAGCAAATACGAATCCGATAAAAAATGTTATTCAGAATCGCATATTTTCACCGTTGAGAGTTGGGTCTAAATCCATTGAAAATGAACCCCCTTTGGTACTTAAGTTGATGATTTCACTTCATTAAACTATGCACATATTCATAATTATTATTAAGTAGGAATAAATCTTAGCTAAGCTACGACACGTTCGTGATTAATTGCTTTTCCTTTTGTTATGCATTGTTTTAATTAGGCACAGAGGTGAAAATATGCGATTTTGACTAACATTTTTAATCTGCCTCGTACATGCTTATTTTTTCTCCTCTTGGCATGAAAAGCATGTCATTCAAAAGCTAAAAGCCTGATCTTTCCGAATATGAAAACCAATTGTTCATACGCCGAGTAATTCACATATAATAGCGCGCTGAAGTTCGATTACCTTTTTTTTTATACACCCTGTATGTTTAGAGTTAGGACACTCGTCATTCTACTTTAGCGGACAAGTGTCATTCTACTTTAGGACACTTCAATGGGTTCCATAATAATTCTGATAGCTAAGATAATGTATTGTATTTGTAGGCATTGATTACACGGTCCAATTTAATCCCCTGGACGTGCATGGCATATCGAATGTCATGCCCACATTGCACCGTGCCTTCCGTAATCTGTTTGACCGCATGACTAATGGAATGTCCCCCCAAGATCAGGTTCGCTTCATCATGAATTCCCCTCGATAGGCCCATTTCCTTACCCTTCCTCCCTTGAGATAGTTTAACCTCTGAACGTTTCCTGGCAGCTGTAGAAACGATCCAGTCAAACGATCAATTCACCCTGGACGATTCCCTCAATGTGAACGTCATTCATGTAGAAATGCCCCAAGGCTCCAGTCGAAAACGTTGTGATGTGATCGACCTAGAAGCCTATCTGACTAAGAAAGACTGTATTGTCCAAATCAAGAACAAGGACGATATGTGCTGTGCTTGTGCCTTGTCGTGGCAAAAGCAAAATATGATAAAGACCCACAATACAAACATATTGCCCACCATCAACGACCTTTACAAGCCCGTCTTGCTCACCAACTCCATGAATCTGCTGGTGTTCCCCTTGGGTCTTGTGGAATCCCAGAAATCAAGAAGTTCGAGGTGGCTCTCCCTGGTTACCAACTGAACGTGGTATCCAGAGAATACCTAAACGCCCTCATCTACTCTGGTCCCGAAGCCGAGAAACACATTTACTTATACCACCACAACAACCACTATGATATTATAACCAGCATGCCTGCCTTTCTTGCCCGAAAGCAGTATTGCCATAAATGCAAGAAAGGCTATGACAAGATCACAGACCACCCTTGTGGCGACCTATGAATGTTATGCCACAGGCAAAGCTGCCCCATCGTGGAATGGAAACATTGTAATGACTGTAACCAATATTATAAAAGACAGGAATGCTACGACCGCCATAAATGTGACGACGGCCCCGCCAAGTCTATATGCCGGTCCCTTGTCAAGTGTCAGAGATGTCATCGGGTCATAACCCGGCCAGCCTTAACGATCATCATTGCGGTAAGGTAAGATGTTCCACCTGCAAGAAACATGTGAAACCAGAAGGGCACCGGTGCTTCCTTCAACCCGTGGAGACCCTACAACCCGAGCAGCAATGACGACGAAACGAGCTCCTTGACGATGATGTGGAGGTGGATAACAATGTCACAGAACGTGAGTGCAATCTCATGTTCTTTGACTTCGAGTGTTTGCAGGATGGTGGCAAACACATCCCAAATCTCTGTGTCGTTCAAAACGAAAATGGGGATGAGACTGTCTTTTCTGGCCCAAATACCAATGAGAATTGTGTGGGTGGATATTCCAGCCGCAACATGCAAAGACCACCTTCATTGCCCATAACCTACAAGCCTATGACGGATACTTTATACTACGGTACCTTTACAAGCAAGGTGTCACTCCACAAATGATCACACGAGGTGCAAAAGTCCTTTCTCTTACTGTTTCAGAACTAAATATAAAATTTATCGATTCCCTATGCTTTATTCCTATGAAACTGGCTGATGTACCAAAAACATTCGGACTCACTGAACTGCAAAAGGGATACTTTCCCCACTTTTTTAACCGCGCGGAAAACCAGGACTATGTGGGGCCAATGCCTGAAATCCGATTCTACGATCCAAACTGTATGAACTCCAATGATCGCGAGAAGTTCTTGGCATGGTACAAGGACCTCGTTGAACGGGAGTACCAGTCGATTTCCAAGCAGAGATCCTCAGGTACTGTCAATTTGACGTGGACATCCTTCGCCGTAGTTGCCTGGAGTTCCGCAAACTGTTCCGTCAGATCACCGACGTCGACCCCTTTGCATCGTGCTTAACTATTGCTTCTGCCTGTAACCTAGTTTTTAGAAAAACCTTCCTTGAAGAAGGTACCATTGCCATCATTCCTCCCTGTGGATACAATCCGAAAAACAAGTAATCTATTATTGCGTTGAAGATGCTTGCCTGGATTGCTCAGTGAGACAACATTGTCATCCAGCACGCTTGTAGCCATGGTGAGAAACGGATCGGCAAGTATCTTGTGGATGGGTTTAATGAAGAGGCCAACGCGGTGTGGGAGATCCATGGATGTCTCTGGCACGGGTGTGAGCGGTGTTATGCCTGTGACACAGTGAACCCTGTCAACCACCTTACCATGCACGACCTTCGACAGAGGACACTTGAAAAGGCACAATATTTGTGCAACAATGGATTCAATGTCACAGAAATATGGACATGTGACATTGAACGTCAGCTTGCCATGAACTCAGCTCAGAGATGAAAGAATTCTTCGAGAACTTTCAGATATCTGAACCACAGGAGCCACAACAAGCTTTTTTCGGTGGTCGCACTAATGCCACCTGTCTGTATCGCGAGGCTGTGGATGATGAGAAAATCCGCTATGTTGACTTCTGCAGTCTCTATCCGTGGTAAGTATGTTTCTAATTATATTAATAGCAAAACATCACTTGCTAACCTTTCTTTCAATACTGTCTGTTTTAGGTGCAATAAGTAAGGAGAGTATCCCCTTGGGCATCCAGAGATTGTCACCGAAAACTTTGCGCCCGTGGAAGACTATTTTGGAGGCAAGCTGATGTTTCCGTTATGTCGTACTTGTGCCGATATCCTACAACAAACGCCATGCCAGCACGGTGACATGGTACTTGGGTGAGTCTGGAGCTGGAAAAGGCCCTCGAGAAAGGTTATCAGCTCGTTCAAATCGAGGAAGTATGGCACTTTCCACAACACACAGACAGGCTCTTCAAAGGCTATATTGATACGTTCCTTAAAATCAAGCAAGAGGTACAGCTTTAAACAATGGGTCCCTCCCGTAAATTCTTTGCTCTTCCTCTTAAGTAGATTACATTGCCGATTACGCGGCCAAAGAAGGGATCCAGCTGGATCCGAGGAAAATTATGAAGAATCCTGGCTTGAGGGCTTTAGCAAAACTAATGCTCAACTCGTTTTGGGGTAAGGAATGCTATACTGTTATTACTGACGCTTTCTTTCTCTGGGGAGAATCTAGGTTTTGACATGTATTTTTAAAATTTCTTTTTTTTAAATTTTATCGTTTTCAGGAAAGTTTGTGCAACGCTCTAACATGGGTCAGATCAAGATTGTCTCGGATCCGGCCGAGTATTTTGACCTCTTCTCCAGCGATAATATAAATGTCACAAATGTTAACTTCATCTACGATGAATTAATCGGAGCTCGTCGACCAGCTTATTGAGGCAGATGGAAAGACGAACGTTGTCATTGCGGCATTTACCACTGCACACACGCGTCCTCAAGTTATACAGCTGGATCGCCGAGTTCTGTATTTCGATACGGACTCGGTGATATACGTATCCAGAGATGGTGATTGGGAGCCACCCACGGGGTCGGACCTCGGTGACCTTACTGATGAACTGGATGGCGCACACATTACAACATTTGCGTCAGGTGATCCAAAGAACTATAGTTATGAAACAAGCAAGGGAAAAACTGTCTGTAAGGTGCAAGGAATAACACTGAATTACAGGACCAGACAGTTTATCAACCATAAAGTTGTGTGCGACATGGTATTCTTAAACGCCTTCAGCAATGAAAATGACACAATAACCATTGACATTCTGCATAAAATTGTAAGGGACACAAAAGAGAAAGATATTATAATGAAGAGTGAAACGAAGGATTATCGGATTGTATATAGCAAACGTAGGATTGTAAACAGTTTTGACACTTTGCCATATGGTTTTTAGAATTGTAAATAATACTATGTGTACATATGTTCAAGTTAAAAAACGCTTTTAGTTATTTTTATATTTAGTTTGTAAATAGTCGATATATATTTTTTTTGAAAATCATCTTGTGTATTTCTCTCGGGCATCCCCCTTTCCCATGCAGAGTTTCAGGGACAAAATAAGTGCCGTACGGGACAAACAGTCCCGCAGGGATACTTTGAGCGTTTCCGGGACTACCGGGATGGAAGTCAGGATAAGAGACGGAAGTCAGGTAAGGTCTTCATTGTACAACATGCCTCGAAAGCGTAAAGACTGGCCGATTTGTGGTAAGAAAAACAAAGACAACCTTTCCTTATTCGTGCCAAAAGTGCACCTTTGGACTTGGAAGTAATTTTAACTGAATTGTATAGACTCATTGGGCGCATGATATAAATAGTGACGATTAAAAATATATGATTTCATTTTCAACATGTACTCCATACAGTTAACACATCCGTTTGGCCTTCTCGTGTCTGGCAGTACAAAGTCAGGCAAAACTACATTTGTGAAAAAACTTTTGAGTTATGTTAATGTCATGATAGATAAACCTCCAGAAAACATTGTGTATTTTTATATTGAGTACCAAGACAGGTTTGGAGAAATTCAAAATTTACTGCCTGGAATAAAATTTGTACAAGGCTTGCCTGATGATATACTGGATAGTGCCTGATGATATACTGGATAGTATTAATCCCGAAACACGCAATTTATACGTCATTGATGATTTCATGGGTGAGAAGGACAGAGTTATTTCAAAAGTATTCACGAAAAAATCACATGGTAACCTGAGTGTAGTGTACATTGTACAAAATTTATTTCATAGCAAAGAACACCGTACAATTTCTCTCAATGCAAGTTATTTATGTTTAACAAAAAACGTGCGAGATGCAAGTCAAATTATCCATCTTGCCAAGCAATTGTACCCAAACAATACAAAATGTTTTCAACAAGCCTATCAAATGGCAACCAAAGATCCCTATTCTTATCTCTTTGTCGACTTAACTCCTATGTGTCCTGACGAGATACAGATTCGATGCGGGATATTTCCAACCGATACGCATTATGTCTATCAACTCAGAGTACAAGAAAGTGGGAACGTGTGTAAAATCCTAACGTAAAAAGGAGAACCCGTCTAGTCCAAAAAGGGGAGGGTTTCCGACCGTTTCTACTCACTTCAGTTTTGGAACCGTTGGCTAACTTTTTATAATGGAGCACGTCAAGCGATTAGTACTTGTCCCTGAACATATGGCTGAACAGCGAAAGAAACCTCTCGCGGCGCCTTTGGCGACACAGGTCAACGAAATAGACTTGGACATGCTAGATATTATTCAATGACAAGATATACCAATCGATGAAAAGGCAAAGTTATACGACCAGAATGTGCAATGCTATTTAACCTTTTATGATAAATGAATGAATAGACCTCTCCGAGTAAACGTGATACACACCGATAAAGCTGAAGAGCCTCAAGGAGAACAGCTCAGTGAAGAGACGGAACATTCAGACAAGATTGAAACAGATATCATGGATAGTGTACCAGCTACTATGAAGTCAAGAGCTCGACAACTCATCAAAAAACTCAAGTCAAATAAAGATCTTGTTGGTTGGAATGAACAAGACCAGATGGTGTTTAAAGGAAGACCGGTTCCTAGCACAAATATAGTTGATTTGGTGAATGATTCTCTACGTCAAAGGAAGAATTTTAACCCCGACGGCTGGGAATTGTTTTCAAAAGTTCTCGGACGTTTGAATGTACCCGAAGGTATTGTGAGAAACAAAAACCGTCTTAGAATTGTTCGCGAATATAAAACCAAAGGTATCCCAGAAAATCCGGTCACCAGAATCCCATATGCGTGAGGAAAAAAGAAAGAAATGAAGAGACATAAACAGTAGTCCATATAAATGGTTAAAATAATTTATTTCTTGTAAGAGAAAATTTGACAATAAATCTATTTTTAAACTAAAACTAGTGTTTGTACCACTTCTCTATAAAGTCACGCACAAGCTCATCATTCCGTTCTTTGCTATCCGTAAACATATTTGCAATGGTTGACATTGGAATATGTCTACATCGATGTAAAGCAAAGAATAATGTATATTGTCCACACATGTCTGATGAAGGGGCTTGCAAAATTCTTCTGTTCCATGTAAATGTACCGCAATGTTTGTCCAAAAATTGAGTAAAGTTCTGATTGTAAAAACCAGGAGCCTGGCCATACGAATCCCCAAATTCCCCTTTGCCATCTTCTGTAAGGTACATTGCTATCCAGTGTGATCCGGGCATATCGGATGCATCCGTGTTAAGTATATACCCTCTAGGCCTCTTTCTTATTTCGCGAGGTAAACGTCCGTAAACACCGTTTTTGTAAATGGATCATTCTTGAGAATGTTCATAATCTGCAGCGAGTTCATCTTCAGTTGTTGAAATCACACAGCCCGTTCCGGTTCGCATCAATTTCGATAAGACTTTGAAATTCATCAAGTACCACGATATTTATAGCTGTCTCCAAAGGTTTCCAAATCGACATTCAATTGACACATTTCCGTTCTTAATCGGTTGTACATGATCACCAATGCATAGGTCAAACACAAACAGTGTATAGCCGTTTGCATATTCTTCACGCGTTATACCATTACCCTGATTATCAAAAATCTTGTGTGCGCCGGCGTACAGGGTTTAAAATGCAGAAATGTACTTACTATCTGCTCCAAATTTCAATTGTAATGGTTTTCCAGGTAAGTTCGCTCCGTTAACAGTGAGACCCATGGTTGTGATATCGTAATTTTTGAAACTGAACGGATTCTTCGTATATGTACCGTTGAAGGCATCTGCGTCGACCATTCCAATCACGATACGATTTGGTAAACCACCTTGAAATATATTAGGTTGATTTCCAGACATGTTCCCCCGAGGTACGGAGACGACCTTACAGTCGATGCGATTGATTGGGTATTTGGCAGTGGTTTGTTGAGGGGACTGGGAATGAGCCAGTATAATACTGGGGGCTACGTTAACTCGTCGTACACGAAACAAGCATTCTTCGATGACCACTTTGAAATTGGTATTTTCTGCGGATGATACCAAACAAAACGGATTTCTAGATCTCACCAGTTTGATCTTGATTGGAACAGCACCAAGAATATAACGGTCTTGCGCGAATAGATCAGAATGAAGTCTTCCTTCCATGGCGACAGATTTGCTTTCACGTGTATATGCATGGCGTTGTTTTAATCCCGTGTTGACGTTGGCATCTTGTGCGAGAGGATTTACTACATCCATCTTTCCAGCTTTATCTTTATAGAACAGTGCTGAGGTCAAATGTGAATCTTTGGCGTCTTTACTAAAGTTCAAGATCGTTTCGATATACGCTCGGTAAGGGTATGCTGTGCTTGATGGGGTGACCAGTTTGTTGTTCAGAAATACTTCAACTTGTGAGAATAATGCATGCATCCAAAGGTTTGAAGGTCTAACTTGAATGTCTGCACCCACATTTCCTCCGGCCGCAGTAGTGATCTTTGCTTTAACGTATAGGTAACTGCTTGCTAAGTTGGTATAAACACCAGAATTTGCAGCACATAAAAATTCTATCGTATCTGAAGAAGATATGCTCGTCTGGCGCTGCTCTTTATATACCCTTTTTGCGACCCTTTCCGGTCATTACCTTCTTGGCAACATCAGATACTGCTTGTTTTCCTCGTGATTTAAAAGCTTCTTTTACATTTTTTCCTTGGAGTACATCTTGACCGACTTCTGTGGCTGCTTGCAATGCTCTTTTGCCAACAACTTTAGCGCCTTGCTTGAACAGAGGGATAGCATATCTCGCAAGGCTTTTGAAAATACTTCCGATCCCATATCCCCTTTGCATACGTGCACCACGAAACCCAGCGATATTCCCACCACGTTGGTGTCTCAAGAAATGGTCTTTCAATAGTTTAGCATCCACAACTAGTCTTCCGCGCATTTTTAGATAAAGTACTGAGATCTCTTCTGTCTAAAGTGAAGTGTTGCGATTGACTTCCCGAACTCAAATGAGACGTTTTCGTTTTGGTCATTCTTTATATTGACTTCAATGGTCTCAAAAGAATTTACTTTGACCGGTACGTATTGCAAATTACGAAAACTGGCGTGAACGATGTTTCCATATTCCCCTTCGACATTAACGATTCGTAGTAAAGGCACTTTCACATCGCCCACAAACTGTGCATCAACGATATCCGTGTAAACATACATGGGGGAGAATCCGCCATTGATATCTGCAGCATAGAGACTCGAAGTTTTCTTTTCAATAAGACTGTCCTGGTCAAATCCCAAGACCGTTGCTAATTCTCCGGTAAACCACACAGTTGGGCCGTGTTTTACGTCAACCAAAATTTTGCGAGAACTGTGATTATAACTAAACTTTACTTTCGTCTGTATTTCTTTTGACATGCCGGCATTGAGTGCTTTTGTTAGTTGATCAATAGAAGAATATTGTGTTTCTTTAAGCACGACAGTTTGATAAGGGTTACTGCCAATTTTATACAAAAACGTTTGTTGCACTCCACGTTTTAGCGTGCTCCACGTATGTGGGTAATGCGGTTCCGTCAATGCGACTTCCCATTGTCCTGGCAATACAATGGTTTCAGCCAATTTAACTCTAAAATTCGCTACCGTGTTATTTGGAAAATAAGCTAACGAACTATTACTCGGTAACGTGAGATAAAACTGTGTTGCCATATTGAAGACCAACACACAAATGAACACAAGTTATGAGTTTCAAATACATTTATTTAATATTTTTTACACTCTCTGCTGGTAGCCAAGAATTAAATTTATCGGGGTAGCCCATCCATTTTACAAAATATTCTTTACGTTTATTACGCATGCGTGATCTAAGTACTTCTTCGACTCTATAAAAATCACTGTCTTTTTATTCACTCTTTGAAGCTCTTGTTCGTAAAATGTTCCTTTCAATTCTTCGTCATCAAAATCAGCGATCTTGTACACGGGTGGTCGTCGAAGAATACGTTTGGTTATTGTAAACACTTCTTCTGTCCAATTAGGTAAGTATCCTAATGATATGTGGCATACTTAGAAAAACAAATTTAATTTTGTTGTAGAAGAGCATGATCCTTTACGCACAAAGCGTGTCAAGGCCTCTAAAGCGCCTTGGATTTCATCTCACTTGAAAGGTGAAATGCACAAAAGAGATATTCTTAAAATCAAAGCAATCCGGTCTAATGATCCTTTAGATTGGCATATTTTTAAGAAAATGCGAAAATGCCAACAAACTTACTTTAAACCAATCTAAAACAGAATTTATGCTAATCGGCTCCCGTCAAAGGATTAGTACTTTCAACTCTAGTCCTTCACTGACAATAAATGACGTACCAATTAAACAAGTCTCTCACACAAAGTCACTTGGTGTACATTTAGACGAGAACTTGACTTGGAATGTTCATATCGAGAAATTATGCAAAAAAGTCGCTTCTGGCATAGGTGCATTAAAGCGTATAAGGCCTTCGTCTCACCTTCCACAATGCAACTTATTTACAATTGCTTAGTTCAACCCTATTTCGATTACTGTTGCGTTGTCTGGGATAGTTGCGGCAGTACTCTTGCGAATAAACTGCAAAAACTCCAAAATCGAGCCGCTAGAGTACTTACTTCATCTAGTTATGATACAAATGCTGAATATCTAATTGAAAAATTGAGCTGGAAAAACCTTGAATCTCAGCGAAAAATTGCCAAAGCTATAATGGTCTATAAATCTCTTAATGGTTTTGTGCCAGACTACCTGTCTGAAATGTTTGTTGATCGAAGTAGCGTAACAAATTATACATTGAGAGACGCCAGTAGAAAATTAGCTTTAGCTCAACCACGCACAAATTACCTGAAAAATAGTTTTAGCTATAGTGGTTCTGTGCTGTGGAACTCCCTTCCGGTTGAGTTGAGACAGTCTAACTCATTACGTAAATTCAAGTCAGACTGCAGCAACTTTATACATTAGTCAATAATTTTAGATTTTTATATTAATATATTAGCACGGCACTTATGGAAAACAGGTATTCTTGTAATATATAATTAGTATTAGTATAGTATGTATACATAATTAGTATCTTAATTAACTTTTATATTCTGTAATCTGTAACTATATTGTATTCTCTTATCATCTTTTATGTAAAATCCTGATAAGTCTACCGTGGGTAAATAAAGTTCACAATCAATCACAATCAATATCCTTTCTTAAATTAAATGTGCGCCTTGCTTTGCTGATTCGTACTTGGTCGCTAATGTTAAACTTGAGCCGAACGGGTTTATCTGACTGTTCTCCATAAAGTTTTTGCCACACAATGCTCTCGTTTTCTTCATTTACATCAACAGGCCTCATACCAATACTACGATGTCTCGAATGTTTATACGATTTTACCAGTTTCTGGAGAATGTCCCCGTACTTGAGCGTGTTCTTCGCTGTAAAGTATTTCCACATTTTCGTTTTGAGCGTACGATTAAACCTTTCGACAATCGATGCCTTGGTCTCGTTTTGCGTCGTGAAAAACCGGATGTTATGTTTCTTCAAAAAGGCTTGAAACTTTCGATTCATAAACTCTGTCCCTTTGTCGGTGTGAAACGTTTCAGGCTTTCGACATTTTTTAAAGTATTTTCTCAAAGACTTTAACAAGATTTTCTCCAGTCTTTGTTTTTATCGGTTCAGCCCACGCATATTTGCTAAGTACATCGATTACAGTTAAAATGTACTTAAAGCCATTATTGTATTTGCTTATCGAGTCCATAATCACAAGATCCGCCTCCCATTGCTCGTCAATTGCGCCTACAATGACACGGTTCCGTTTGAAAGGTTTATGTAAAGGTATAGGTTTTTACAGGTTTATGTAAAGTATAGGTGTCTTGCTTTTGTAGCCATAGTCGTATTTTATTCCGCGATATCTGATGTTTGCCTTCGTCTTTTACAACACTGTAAATTGAATCTACGCCACCAAAACTTGCCGGACTTTCCGGATTGTAATAGATTTGGCTCAGGTACTTTTCTGCCATCAATGTCTGAGGCTTGAATTACAACTGTCCCTCCACAGCAAGCGGAAATACAACGCACTTTCCGAAAGATGTCTAGGAGGGAAATTTCTGGATGACTTTCATCACAACAGGGCATCCTTTCACCTCAGAGGTTAGAACGAAATGAACCATGCAGCAATCATAGACTAACATATAAAGCTATTAGTGTAATTGAGAGCGTTATTAAAATTGGTGGTTTATTATTCCTTTTCGCCTTTGGGATATGAAAAGTCCGAAAGGCCTCGACAGTTTTTCGGACATGTTCTCGAACGCTTTCCTCGTTGTCACTCTGCATACAAACTAAAGCAAAATAAGCAAAAATGCGACCAAAGTTTGTCATATTTATTTCTCTATAGACTTGGTCAAGGTTTAGACCAGGAGCATTCACTGCACGATATAGATCTCGATGGTGGTCGAGAATTGCATTTATATGAAACGATAAAGTCTGCTTATCGATATCGATTCATTCTGTCTCAACTCGTCAAAAATTATATTTATATTATTCATCTTGCCAGAGAACCTCTCACCATAAAGGTTAAAACCCAAATGAGAAATGTAAGTGATTGATCTCAATAACATACAGAACACATTCATGATGATAAAAACAATTTATTCCGTTTTATTACAGTTATTCATATTTCTTAAGAAATTCTTCATACGCTTCCTTAGCATTAATGTTGGTACTAGTGAATGTTTCTCCCGTGTCTTCATTCTTGTATCGATATTCTAGCGGGTCACTGAATAGGACGAAGCCAGTCTTGGTCACACGAGACTCGATCCCTTTCCATTCGAAAAATCCACAGCTGTCTATCTGAGGGCAACAGTAAAACAGCCGGTTCTGGGTGGGTCCGTCTTTCTTCACTTTACGTACGGTGCATACCATCCCGTGCTTGCAGCGTGGTCGAGAGCTTTCGTAAATGTCTCCCCATTGCCAAAAGTTGCAAGGATCATGTCGATCAAAACACGTGAAGAAGGGTCTTCCATAATTATCTTTCATTTTATATTTTACCACACGTAATTTGGCCAATCTCTGATGTGTTGGGCAAATGGGATGATTGGAACCACTATTTTGACACACTTGCATTACTCTCGAAAACAGATAACAGTCTTCGTCATGGCAAAAGAACTCGCAGCTCGGTGTTTCGTCACAAAACCAAATCGTAACACGAGTAGTTGTAGAACTTGCTGCTGGTTTAACGTGAAAACATTCCATCGTGAGTGTTGAATACAGACTATGCAGGTGAAAGGACACTAGCTGTATTTATAGAGATGTTGCTGTGTTGTGATGCTAATTGATCGCGTTGCCTGCCACATTTGGCCCAGGCCTGCTCGAGTTAATTGGTCGCGCTACCTGTCACAGTTGGACAAGGCTTGCCCGAATGACGTCATAAATGTTA